AAAGGAAAGCACGCAATAAACTACAAAAAGAACTAAAAATCAACGAAAAGACCTAATATGAGGGAAAAAGAAAGGAAAAATGACAACAACAAAATGGAACAAAAATGGGACAAACAACTCCCCCACACTTAAATCTTTGTTCATCCCGAACAAAATGACACAAAAAGAAAAGAAGAGAAAACAAGCAAACGAGCATGGATAACAGTTTCAAATATGAGAAGTCTCAAATTAATCAATTTAGCCGAGAAGACTTCCAATGACCAATAACGCATACCTCAACTACAACTCGAATGCTACGCTTTGAAAAGACAAACTCTCAAGCACGGAAGTATAATACATATATGTCTCGCTCAGTTTATTGCATGAATATGAAATGGGTTCGCTCAAATTGGTGGATCATCCTGCTTCAACATAAGCTTGCCTATTGTCTATTCATACTCCAAAACAATCAAAGATCATGAATTTGCGAATCAAGAGGACTTCACGGGTTGTAATATAGGTATTAAAGGAAGGACAAATATAAAGATAATGTGGCTCAAATAAACAATCACACTCTCAAGCCTATGAATACTCGAATATCTCACCACCTATCTGTAATCAACATGAAATTAATCATTCCCACCAAAAACTCCAAACACCACTCACACATGCTCAAGCTGAAATGCAAATTAAGTCCTCGACTCTTTTTTTTTTTCTTTTTCTTCTTTTTTTTTTGTTTTTTTTTTAGAGAGTTCCATTTTTTCCAAACAAAATCAAACTGCATGGACAACATTTTCTAGGTATAAACTTTTTTTTTAGTCAAGCACTATAATGCAACTCAAATAAGTTCTAAACCTTCTCCAAACACGTACTAGAAAGATCCGCCATCATCACAAGATACACTATCAAATCTCAAATAATTCAATCACATAGGTTGACAAAAAGTACGGTTCAAGGCTCAACGGGCTACTAATGAGAATATAAGTTCAAGGGTCAATGAAAAAGGCTAAAACGAGTAGTTTCAAAGAAATGCCTCAATCGTTTTCACAAATCACAACTTCAATCGCTTCATTTCAAAATAGACTCAAAGCAAGTTCTGACCACCAAAGATTCCGACTAATATTTCTAAAGAAACAACATAAGGCTCAAACCTCATATAAGGTAAATAAATGTCCAACAAAACAACACATCAAGTTCATCAAAATATACTGGTCATGATCATCATCACATCTCCTCAACATCATCAACAATCATCAACCAATCTTAAAATTCATCATAATCCATACTCGCAAAACACACAAACTGACTCAAGATAAGACACTCAGACAAAAACAAATGATGAAAACACCCTAAAAGAACTAGACCTGGTCAACCATATAGACACATAATCATGTAAAAACTCTCCCACACTTAAAATCGAACAATGTCCCCATTATCGATCATCAGTGCAAGGAAAGTTTGCCCATATAATCAACCAACATAAATCAAAAGCACTAAACCAAATACGAAAATAAAGAGAAAGAAAAAGATACAGACGTACAGGGCACAGTGACTAGACGAGTCACTGTGAATCCGGTGGTGCAGGTGGAGGGTGGAGGTAGTCGGGACCCGAATAGCGGCGGGCCTCTATCAACTAAATCTATCGCCCCATTCGAATCGGGGCAGCTTCTTCGAACTCGGTTGGGGAGGGGTAGTATGGCGGTTGGTGTGGCATCCTTTCTCAAAACAAGCTCGGTCCTGCGTTGACCTCTTAGCGTGCTCTCGCATGCGCCGCTTCCTCCATGAGTTGCTCAATCGCCCTAAGGTACGCACACTCCACAAACTTGGCCTGCGGCTCTTGCCGGGTCTCTCAGACGGAAATAGAGATAGTCTCTCCTAACACCGTCATGTCCGCAGTCCCCTTCTTCACATCAATAACTGTGCTGGTAGTCACCATAAAGGGTCGTCCGAAGAGGATGACATGCTCCTTACCATTTTCTTTCACGTTCCCCACATCAAGCACAACGAAGTCCATGTGGACTATCAGCTTCCCCACTCGGACGAGCACATTCTCCACAATCCCCTTCAGTGACGAAGCTAGCGATCTGCAAGCTGTAAGCACATCCTGGTGGGTTTCAAGTCTCCAAGCCCGAGCCGGTGATAAACTACTAGTGGCAGGAGGTTAATGCCTTGTAATATCCCACATCAGTTGTTAAGGAGAACGAAACATGCCTTATAAGAGGGTGTGGATACCTTAACTTGTAGGACGCGTTTTGGTGAGCTAGCTCCCAAAGGCAAAACCGTGCGGGTGAGCGGGCCCAAAGCGGACAATATTCTACAGCGGGTGGACTGGGCTGTTACAGATGGTATCAGAGCCAGTACCCGGACTAGTGTGCCAGCGAGGACGCTGGGTCCCCAAGGGGGATGGATTGTAATATCCCACATTGGTTGTTAAGGAGAACGAAACATGCCTTATAAGAGGGTGTGGATACCTTAACTTGTATGATGCGTTTTGGTGAGCTAGCTCCCAAAGGCAAAACCGTGCGGGTGAGCGGCCCCAAAGCGGACAATATTCTATAGCGGGTGGACTGGGCTGTTACATGCTTGCTCCTAGATCAAGCATCCCCGAGATCTCCTCCACATTGCCGAAGGCTATATTTATCATGAAGCCTCCGGGGTCCTATTCTTTCTTTGGCAAGTTATGCTGGAAGACACTTGCTGCTTCGAACACGAGCACCTCATCACTACTCTCGAGCCTTTGCTTATTTGCTGCTACTTCCTTGAAAAATCTCGCATATGCCGGTATTTTCCTGATCACGTCGGGAGGAGATCGGTCGACATTGGCCTTAGCCAACATCGCATGTAGGTCCCTAATCATCCTACGGTCCTTCTCCTCCAAAAGTCGGCTCGGGATTGGAATCTTCGACTTGTATGGGTTCGGGGACTTGTGCAAAGTTTGTTCGGTAGGCGGTGTCCTCGAGGCCTCCTTTTTCCGTTCTTGCTTTCTCGGGCATTCTTTTTCTTCTTTCTCTTCTTTGCCCACTATCTCCTCCTCAAGGTCGGGCATAATCACAGTCACCGCATTCACATGCTCTGGCTGACTCGGCAGCTTCCCTTTTGTTCAACTCAGTCTCAATACTTTCGACCCGTGTGGCCAATTGTCCCACTTGCATCTCGAGGCGCTTAATGGAAGCCTCGTTGTTCATGGTTCGCTACTGGTTGTCGACAAAAAACTGGAGGATCTTATCTAGCTTGTCATCCGTGCTTGGCGAGTTCGGTCCAGCTCCCTGTGTGGGCATCCCCATCATTTGTCCCCTTTGTTGCTGCTGACGGGGGACAAAGGTGGGTTGAGACGGTTGCTGAGAGTTGTTGTTTGTCCAGGAGAGGTTCGGGTGGTTTCGCCGCCCCGGGTTGTATGTGTTCGAGTAGGGGCCGTTTCCAGGCCGATTCTAATACCCCTGCAGTGCATTCACCTCGGCATTCTGTCCTCCATAGTTTGGGTTGACAGTCGACGGGCATACCTCAGAATTGTGTCCCTGAACTCCGCATGCGCCGCAAACATTTACTGCCATCGTCTGAACCGGTGAAGCTCCTCTTGCATTTAATAGTCGCATCTGCTCCGTGAGTTCGGCTAACTGCTGAGCCATAACGTTGTTGCCCGGTTCGACCTCGTTCACCGTAGTTCTCTTCCCTCTAATGCTCTCCTGAGACGAATTTACGCTCATTGTCTCGAATATGTCCATCATCTCCTCAGCTCTCTTCTCCCCAATGTCTCCCTCGGCCGCATTGTCCACCATGTACTGCAAGTTTTGGTGGATGGAGTCATAAAAACAATTTGCCAATAGCCCAGGAGAGAGGTTGTGGTGGGGGCACTGCCTCTGGAGGTCCTTAAAACGTTCCAAGCCTCGTGAAGAGGCTCGTTCGGCAGTTGAGCAAAGGAGACTATCTGAGACCGGAGCTCGTGTGTTTTCTGATGGGAGTAGTACCACCCGACGAACTTGGCATACACCTCGGCCCAAGTGGTAAGAGAGTCTAGCGTGAGGGTCATGAACCAAGCCTTAGCTCGGTCCTTCAGGGTCTCCGGAAAGCACCGCATTTTTAATTGGTCCTTGGTCAGCCCGTGCAAAGGGAATGTCTGGAGATGTTGTAAAACTCCAGGATAAAGTGGAGCGGGTCTTCGTTGGGGAGCCCGTGGAATGATGAAAGCTGATTGTAGTGGACCATCTTCAGCTCATAGTTTCGGGCGGCTTGCTCCAATCGGATACAAGAAGTGCTTAGCCCGATCAAAGGTTGGGCCAGGTCTCGGAGCAGATCATGGGGAGGTTGCTGATCAGCCATGTCCAAATTGCTTCCCTCAGATGATTTGGGAGAATCCTCGCCTCTTCCGTGTGATTCGAGAGTAAGCTCGTCTAACAGCTCTCTCAGGCTCTCGTTGAAGGGCTTATTGATTGGAGATAGTATACGTCCAAAGAGAAAATAAAATGAAAACGGGTTACGAGCACCAATGATGGAAGAAAGAAAATAAAATGAAAACAAAAACAAAGAAAGAACTAACACCTAAGCAAAGAAATAGAAACAAAGAGAATAAACGTACAAGATTCATATGACGACTTCTTCTCAACTTTGTCGACCCTACAAACTTTTCGAAGCGCAGTGAAGTCAAAAGTATTGGCGAAGTGAAGTTCAGTCATAGAAGCTTCGCTTCGTTCTTAGAGTCAATTTCATCGAACCTTCCGTAGAGAAAAAGCTTATCAATGGCCCGTCCTCTAAGGATATTAACGCTTACCAGCTCGACTCTTTCCTTTGAGTTAGTATTTCTATCGTGAGGAATAAAGACTTTATCTTTCATAGTTATATCTTGTCTCTCCTCCAGGTCTTTTGACTCAAGGATCGATGTAATTGAGCTCGACTGAAAAGTTCGATGTAATTGACGAAGCGCAGTGTACGAACGAAGCGAAGAAGTTCAGTCATAGAGGAAACATGTTCAGTCAAAAGTTTGGTGTAATTGACCAGGAAATAGTAAAGTCAAGCTATCAGCAAGCATGAAACTCCTCCAATCGCCGATATCACAAGCTAAGGCACTTGTAAGCGGCAGCTTCATATCCGATTATGGAAAGAAAGAAGCCTACTCTGTACTATCACTGGTGGGGAAAGCATTATTTTTTTCCAGGCGCTATCAGCCTTGCCTTACAGGACAATGTCAGTTGAAGGTATGAGTCAGGATGGGATAGAAGAGCAAAGTCGCTTGCCCAATAGGTGACGGAGTGAACCTGCCCTTTCTTCAGGGTCAAGAAGAAGAGCAAGGAGGTCCCACTATCTGATATAGGGAGTAGGCCACCTAAAAGAAGGTCTGATTGAGCACTTTCTTCACCCAACGAATGAAACGAAGCGAAGTAAAGTCTATAGAAGTCTGCAAGACAAAGATCAGACATCACATTGCTTCCGCTATTTGCAGAGATGTCTTTGAAGGCAGGTGCCAAGTAATATGCGAAGTCCGGGCGGCAACGGCGCCAAATTTGTTGTGTACAAATTGTTATTTACCGAGTACCAAATCAAAGGATTCGTTTCCCGGGTCGATCTCTCGAGGAAGGTTAGCCGAATTATAATGTACGATTTTTCAAACACAAATAAAAGAAATAAAATCCTAAACATTCTAATTCAGAGATTGGTTTGATTTTTAATTATCAACTAATGCAAAAATTCAAATAAAGCAATAGAAATAGCAAGCAACAACGAAGAACAAAAAGGATTTAAGAGGCTAGGGAGTCGGGGATATCCGTTCTGGTTCGAATTGCAATTATCGGGCAGGTGATCGTTCGGTTAAATGATTCGAGTAACCCACACGTTCAGAGATTCATCCTCAATAACTATTCATAACAAGAGGACAGAATTGAACGGCAAATTAACGAGTCGTTTAACACCTAGGCAATACAGTTACGAACAAGCGTAGTTTATACGAGCCTATTTCGACCGACTCCTCCCCTTTCGGTTCTAAGAGTCGAATTAGACTAGAGGATGATTAATCAACTAGTCCATTTAGAATTAACAACGTCACGCGAGAAAGAATCAAATTCAATTGAAAATCAATTGGAGATTGAAGTGTCACCCTTCAACAATTCTTAACATTCAAGCATAATAATTGAAAATCCTATTTTAAGAATAACTCGTATAAATTGAACAATCAACGAACACAATAATCACAAACGAAACCAAAACATCATCCCCTATCCTAGCCAATATATTTAGCTACTCATCACAAATTCAACATCAACATTCACATCCAACAAAGCCATAACATTCTTCAATAAAAGGAAATGAGAAGCTTACAATTGATACAAAATTCAATATCAAATTCCGAAAGCAATCCAAATCCGAAAGATATAGTGGAGTTTTTTAATCTCCAAAGCCAAATCTAAGCAAAACAAAGTAAAAATGTGTTTTTGGAAGTGAAAAGAAGGAAAAACAATGTTCAAAGATCAATAAAATCTGCCTTAGAACCGGTCCTTAAGCTCTCCAATTCGAAATTCCGAGAAAAACGCAACAATTGAAAATTAGACCTTAGCAGCGCTAACCCCTTAGCGCCGCTAACCCCCTTTTGGTTAGAAAGACTTTGGCGTCGCTAGCTACTTGCTAGCCATCAAAGCACCTCTAGTTTTGCACCCTTAGCGCCGCTAACCCCTTAGCGGCGCTAAGGTCTGGGCAGCTTGCGTGACTTCACGTCTCGGGCTCGTTTGAGCTCGTCCGAACTCGGAATTGAGTTTTGCTTTTTCCTACATGTCGCCAACAAACTCCTCTATTAAATTATGCATGCCCAGCCAATATTTTTCAGAAATCCTATTCTCCCAAAGCTTCTAACCTGCACACCAAAAACGACACGAAAAACAGAGAAAACAAGAAAACACAAAAAAAACTCCAAATTAAGGAAAACACGCAATAAAATACAAAACGAACTAAAAATCAACGAAAAGACCTAATATGAGAGAAAAAGAAAGGCAAAATGACAACGAAAAAATGGAACAAAAATGGGACAAACATGTAGAGTAATCAAGGGTAGACATTTCAATAAGGAAAACTCGAGTGATGTTAGGGTGAGGGAAGGGGACTCTTGGTTATGGAGAAGTTGGTTGAAAGTTTGAGAGAATTTTAAGCTTGGGTTACAATTTCAAGTGGGGAATGGTGAATCCATCAGATTTTGGGAGGATCCTTGGGTCTCTAGTAATCCTTCTTTTAAACCTCCTTGTAATTTTGATATTGATAACATAGATCTCTTATGGGTTAAAGATTTGTTCCTTGAGGGAAGGAGGGAGTGGGATAGTGATTTTCTTCTTCAAACTTTTACCCTCTATATGCCTTAACCCTTATCAAAATCCGCATTAGTAAGGTAGGTTTGCAGGAGAAACTCATTTGGACAGAGACCAAGGATGGCAAGTTCACAGTCAAATCATCTTACCAACTCATCGTATCAAAGAAGGAAGCCAGTGTACGTAGGGGCAAAGCCAGCTCCTCTGGAAGCCGAATTCATAAGATGTGGTAGGTAACTTTAAAACTCCCTATCAAACAGCAATTAAAGCTCTTCTTGTAGAGATGCTGGTATGGTTACCTTAGCACCAATGATCAGCTAATCAAAAGAGAGTTGTAAGTTGATGCCATCTGTCATATTTGTGGAGACTGTGTTGAAGACTTGGAACATATCCTATTTCACTACACTATAGCTCAAACATGGTGGAAACTGATTGGGATTCATTGGGACAATGTCCAACACTTTGACACTAGATTTAAGGTTTGGTGAAAGGATATTTGTAATGCTAAGGATGTTAAGGCGATGGAGGACAGGATAAGCTTATTAGTGTATCTATGGTGGTGGCTCTAGAAGATAAGATGCTTATCGTTGTTCAATAAGAAGTGGAAAGATGTAAGAACTGTTTGTCTCATTTTTGTTGCATTTTTCGTGTTTATTTTTTCTTTCTTTTTCCCCCATTTTAGGTCGTTTCTTTAGATTTTAGTCCGTTTCGTATTTTATTATGTGTTTTCCTTCATCATGAGTCTTTAGGTGTTTTTCGTTTGTTTTTCCGGTTTTCTTTTGTGTTTTGTCGTTTTTGGTGTGTAGGTCGGGAGCTTCGGGCGAATTTTATCTTCAGAAAAGTTGATTTTGAGAGCATAACTGGATAGATGGGTTCGTTGATGACGCATAGCAAAAAACGGAACTCAATTCTGAGTTCGGACGAGCCCAAACGAGCTCGAAACGTAAAGCAGCGCGCAGCTGCCCAGTTTTCTTCACCGCGGGCAGCGGAGGTGTCCTGCGGCCGCGGAGCCCTTCTGCAGCTGAAATCTCATGGCCTCGGAGCTGCCCGCAGCTGCGGAGGTCGCAACCAGAATTTTAAAAGCTAGATTTTGTTCGTTTTTTTCGGGGACCAGACCAGAAAATCCCCCAAAAACCCATTTTTTCCCTTCTCTTACCCTAAGAACACCATCTTGATCTTGTTTTTCACTTGGATTTCTTCATTACTTTCGGATTAATCTTGTATTTCAGATTCAACTCTCAATTCCGTTTTAATCGTAAGTTTTCTATTCATTTAATCCATGAATATGATTGCTTTGATTGTTGTGGTTGATGGTGTTGAATTGAATATGAGTGGCTAATTCCTTCTGCTAGGGATAGGGGATGATTGTTCTCGTTTAACGTGTATTTGTCGGGCTTGATTCGTTTGTTCTTGTGCGAGTAAATTTAATTAGGAATTGATGAATTCTTGCTTGATGATTTGACATAACCTAAGAGTGACACTTAGATTAATTTATTGATATAATCGAAGAGTGACACTTCGATTTTGCGCTTGAATATTGATTTGTTGAGTTAGGGTATATTGATCCTACATGATTAGTTGATTAAACACCTTCTAATTGAATTAGCGACTTTTAGAACCGAAAGGGGAGAAGTCGTAGACCTAGGCTCGCATGAGATAGATGATTTCGTAACTGAATAATCTATGAGTTTTGGATTGAAATACATGCTTGTCGGTGTCTTGTCTCTTGTTACGAAAAGTTATTGGGATTGGATACTTAGCCGGTATTGTATGCTCAAACTTGCTCGTCTATGTTTAATTCCTTGTTACGAAGAGTTATTGGGAGTGAACCGCTAGGCGTGTAGGCGATAGTGTCAATTCCGAACCGAACGATCAATTGCCTGGCTTTACGTTGCGAACTTGAATAAATTATCCCCGATTCCCTAGTTTCTTTATTATTATTTAGTTGGTATTTTAGGATTTATGCTTTTATGCTATTTCTTAGTTGATAGTTAATTCCTCACCAATCTGATTAGAGTGTTTAGGATTTATTTTTCTTTTTGGTGTTATCAATACCAATTCTAAATTTCGAACCGCCTTCCTCGAGAGATCAACCCGGGAAACGAATCCTTCGATTCGGTACTCGGTAATATAACAATTTGTACACAACAAATTTGGCGCCATTGCCGGGGAAGGCAAGTAGGATATTAGTTTTGGTGTTTGATCTTATTTTCTGTGTTCCTCTTTATTTTAGTGTTTTTATGTCAGGGGCTAAATCTAAATGTTGAATTTCTCCCATGCTCATCTTTAAACAAGGATATGCTGGAGTTAGGTGATGGCGTGAGGGGGATTAGTGAAGAGGGATATTCTTTAGAGGTAGGACATCATTCCTTTGTAGTCAGTTCCTGGATTTCTTCATGTGGGAAACTTGGTTTAGGCTGCAGAGCTTGGCATAAGGTGGTGGTAGTTTAAGATTGGACAGTTGCACTATCTTTCAGTGGTGATCTTTCTGAAGAAAACTTGTGGGCTGTGAGATGGTGTTTGCAAATGATCTTGTTCCTTGGCTGGTCTTCTGGTTGCTGCTTCGAAATTGATAGAATTTAATCTCCACCTTGTCAAAATCATCTAGACAATGTCTTTCAGGGTCCATAGTGATCGAAGATATTAACCAGTTGTTGTCTAATTTTGTTTCTATTTCCTACAACTTTGTGAAGAATGTGGATGCTGATATTGGTACTTTGGCCAAAAGGGCCTTGCAGAAAATCAAATTTCTATTAACTTCTTGTAGCTTGTTTTCATTAGTATCTTGTAAGAGGACTTGTGTTCCTTAACTATTCAGTTAGCCTTTGTATTTCTATTGAGTGAAATGTATTTCTTCATTTATCGTTGAAAAAAAAAAATTAGAGTGCTTCGGGATCCATGAGTGGATAGTATGTTTTGAAACATGTTCGGATATCTATGTAAATCAAATCTTTTAAAGTTATGAAATTGTTAACTAACTAAAGTATGAGTAAGATATAAATATTTGTTGGCATCATTCATCAAATTATGATTAATGTGCAGTAGTGAAGCATCATCCATTATGTTTGTTTGGCCTCATTTACTTTGTGTGATTGGATAAGACAAAATAATCACGTATAACTTTACAAATCATCATTTAATCCAGTGTTTACATTAAGGGATTAAAAAGTCTGAAATTTGTCCTATGTTTACTATCATATATAAGATAAAGGTTAAATGTCCAATTCACCCTCCATTTCAACAAACTCGTCTTCACTCCTCATTTCCCAAAATTCATCTGCGTCTCTTTCACAAAATTCATCTTCCCGTCGACTGAACCCTAATCAACCCAAAGCAGGCGTCGACAACGGGGTCCGATTCCCCTCTCCCCTCTTTTCAAAATTCCGTCGAACCCTTCTTTCGTTAGCGACTACAAGGTCCACTGAGATCAAGGTTTCTTGAGGGGGAGTCCACTGTTCATTTAAGCCCTCTTTCCGATTTGGAAATAAGCTGAACATCTTATCTGAAGGAAAAGAGTGTGAAGTGAAGGGTTCTAAAGCTGCGATTGTGAAGCGAGAAATTTCTAGTGGTCAGAAAATTGAAGGTGCATGAGGTAATTTTAGTTTAATGTTTGAAATCTTAAAAAAAAAGTATAATTGATATGAGGTTGAAGATAGACTTGCACTGCTTCTTTTCGGTGCTTAGAGAAGGTAAATATGTTACGATTATTATTTTTCTGTTTCATAGATTTTGCCTCGCATAAGCGCAAGATCAGAAAAAAATGATTTTCTGAAGGGCAAGATGGGCAACACATGGACGGGATTATTTAATCACAGGGGGAGGGTGGGATTTTTTTATCGGAAGAAACCGGATGAACGCATGCCACATAGGCGCCAGCTCATTAAAATCCCATCCCAATCCCCATAAGTAAATGTAAGATAGCCGGGACTAATATCCTTATCCTATCCTGTCCCCCAAAGTAAACGACCCCTTTGTGTATTTGATGTGGAATTATGAAATTAGATGTGGACTATAATTAATGTCAAATAGAAAATGAACTTAAAGGAAGGAAATGGCAATTTTCATAATGGTACAGAACAATTCGACTTCGATTCGGGAAGGCCTTTAGTTTATAGTTAGTTTACTTTTTGTTAGTTTGTTCTTATTTTTGTTTTGTTGTCCTTTTTTTTTGTTAGTCCCCTTTTGTGAAGATTGTCAGACTCTTATATGGAATAGTCTCATTTATGAAATTTTTTGTCTTCCTTTTTTTTNACATAACACTAAGATCCATTAGCCATCACCAGCTTACTTCCCGCGAACTCCTGCCATTCCTTCCATGCACCTCGCACCACCACTGTTTTCGGCATCCATACATTCTCGAACAGCCAAAGGTTTCTAGACCGCCACAACCACCATAGTATGTACGTGGTCAGTTGTATACGATCTTCAGAAATAGGTGCGGTGTCCGTCGAATATACCTGCCACCACCAAAGCCGGAATGAGGTCTCATCATGATGTGCTTCATCCCATTGTACTGAAGCCATTTTCCACACCGTTCTTGCTCTTCTGCATTTAAAGAATAGGTGCTCTATTGTTTCCTCATGCTCTCTACACTGCTTGCAAATAATATCAACCTGAACTCCCTTTTTTGCCACCTTCATACTAACAGGCAGGATACCATTGAAGCATTTCCAAATGAAATGCTCCACTTTGCCTTTTACCCTCATCTTCCAGCTTCTTTCTCTAATTTTCTTATCCCTTGCTCCCGAGGTGCTGCTTTCTGGCAAGTCCAGGCCCAAGATTTTGCCCTCCATAAGATGATTGTAGGAACCTGCCACTTGGAATTTCCCTTGCTTATCAAAAGTCCACTTCCATCTATCAGGTTGGTCTGGTCTAAGAGTATCCACTGCAAGAATAGCCAGCTTATCTCTGTCAGAGAAGGCATTGTTAATGAGTTGCACATTCCAGCTTTTGTCGTCATCATGAATCAAGTCTTGCACCCTTATCAGTTGCTCCCTCCAAAATTCCAAAGGGTGTGGACTTTGGTGGTTTAGCTTAGGAACCCAGCTCTGGTCACCTATTAGACTCTCTCTCTCTCTCATCTCTAACTTCCTTGCACAGCCCTTTAGCAAAGATAGGAATGATGTCCAACCAATTATTTCATAGCCATGACCCCGAACTCTTCTTTTTAACTCTTTTTTTGTCTTCCTTACTTGGGAGTTTTTGTAGGGTTGTTCCATGTGAAGGGAACACTTACGTTAAAGTGACTTCTCANATCTGGTTGGTTATCAATTTTACTCTTTTTCAGTTTTAATTAATTTTAATAACCATTTAAAAATAAAATATCGTCCAAAATGGGTCATTGGGTGCAATTACAGTTCTTCATAGCAATCGTATCGCGTGATTTTGTTTTACTCATGATATTTTAAATATTGATGTAAGATGCAACTGGCCCCAATTGGTAGTTAACGCAATTTGGTAACGAAAATCGTATTAGTTCAATCAATACATGAGTTATAATTATTATTATTAGCTATAGCCAAATTAATCTCTTGCAACACATTATCGATTCCGTTGAATACAAAAGTTTTAAGCTAATGTAAATAAAAAAAATATTAGTATTTCACAAATCACGTGTAAGATACCAGTCTAATTAAAATTAAGTGTAGTCTCCGACTAAAGTATGAAAAATTTTAAAATAAAAATTATATATATACTTGCAGCAGTAAAACACATTACTTAGAAAACTTATACTTTTTTTTTTTCAGAACGATAGAATACACATATATTCACAACACAAACAAAATTAGAGAACAGCTACTCGGCCGAATAAAACAACTAACGACCGAANCATTCCCTTCCCACAATTGGCACACGCCCTTCCCACAGTTGGCGCACGCCAAAAGTCACCCGACGGCAGCCTACCACCCCAACGACCAGACCTAGCTCCGAGATGCCACTCCTAAAACTGCCAATAACGCCTAATTGGAACCGCAATCCTAGAACCCAGCCTAGCACCCAGATGGTCGACCTCAACCTCGACCCCGAAGCCCGAAGAACTCTGACCCAACTCCCCTCACACCACCGCCGTCCAAAGCCTGCCCACACCACGGCCAGGAATAGAGGGCGCCGACCACCCCATTAACCCAAACACAAGAGGAAAGGGGCACATGCGAGAAGGCGACAGAGCCTCCACCCCGACCACCACCATCGACGATCGGAACCGTAGCCACTTCCCGAGAAGCACCACTTTCGGACCCCGACGCGACACCCGATGACACAACACCCCAGGACGGCAGCCAGACCTACGCTGAAACTGCCTGGATCGCCCTCCACATCCCGCGCCGCAGAGACCAACAATAGCCCTAAAGCGAGAGTCAGTCGCGCAACCCAAAGCCGACTGCCGTCGTGAAATCGGCGTTGGAGGAAGACTCGGAGAAGAAGAAATGAGTGCAGAAAAGAGAGATATGAGGGTAGGAATTTTTAGAGAGAGGAAAGAAATGGGGTGTCAACAATCAAAATTTGACACCAAAATTTTAATTGCAGATTTTGTTAGCTTAGGAAATTTATAAAAACAAATGAAACGAAAAATATTCATGTTTGATAGATAAATTATAAATAATTAGTTATTTACTTTATTTGAATTGATAGATAATTTTATTTTTATTTATAGACATTGATATGATTATTTTCATTCTATACGTAATAGTCAAATCCATATTCAATTAGAAATCACTCCTCAAGGAGACTAGATTACAAACTCAATGAGGAAACTACTAAATACATAAAACAAACAAAAACTGCACAACATAAGTAAAAATATATAAAATAGAATAAATGTCTCTTTTCAAACAACTCGTTTAAAAAAGATGTCCCAATAAACCCTCCAAACCACAAGCTAACCACCCACGAGGAAAAAACTAACCACAAATATGGGCTTCACATCCAAAAACTCCAACCTAACTCGTACAGCTAATAAGATGTAATCATACAAAGGCTTTGAAAAAAGGGAGATCCTACTAACACAATACCAGATTCGGCCAACCATGAGAGCTTGACTCCATGGTGAGCCTAAGAGAAGGACAGGCCTCCGGTATGCCTAATAGAATTTTTGGATTTTGCAGATTTTCCGGATTGTTTTTACGAATGAACTGCATTCTTTTGGCTTCTAAAATATACATAAACCCCCTTATATTATAAGAAATCTGCATGTTTTTCCCTGGTATTTTAAAAGTTGCATCAGACCCGCTTAAATTAACTAATTGTTGCACGATTCCCCCCTCTCCGTCCAACTTGACTGCGCCTGTAGTACACATTTCTGTAATGCGAAAATTATTCATTTTTTTCATATATTTTTTTATTTTAAAATTAAAATTTACTATTTTGCCCCTTACTTTTATACCAATTATTGGGCAAAATTAAAGTAAATTGCTGCTCCTGAGATTCGAATTTGGGCCAAAAGGCCAATAGACAAGGCTTCACACCACACTGCCCCCATCATTATATGGTACAAATCTAACACACATTTATTTAAAACTGTAGAACACAAGAAAACTTAATCAAACAAAAAATAAAAAATAAAACAATCACAAAATAAAGTAATAATAGAAAATATAATTAAAATAAAATATAATAAAACTTAAATATGAAAATTAAATAATCAATATATTACTATTTAATATAAAAATAAAATTATAATTTCATTTAAATAAATAAAAAATATAAATATAAAATGAATTTTAAATATATGTTTTTATGAATTGAAGTAATATAATATATATAAATAAAATTAAACTAAATTAACTTAAGTTAAATTAAATTTATTTATAATAAAATAAAATGATAATTCTATTTATAATATATTATTAAGTGGTAATTTGTAAATAAAATACTTTGTATTCAATAACTATATATGATTTGTATATATTTCTTTTATTTAGTTTTTATAATATTTTATCTTTTTTTAAATGTTCGATAAATATATAAATTTTAATTTTTTTCCAATAAAATTCATATTTTTAAATTTGTAATAAATAATTTAAGTACTTATTATTTGTTCAGTTTACTTATTTTAAATTTTTGTAAATGTATAATAAATAAAAAATAAAATTAGAATTAAAAAAAAGTAATTAAAATATCAAGTATCCTCTGTTATGAGCTTCAAATAATATAAATAAGTTTTGATTATTTTAATTATTTTGAAATATGAATAAATATAAATCTTTATAAAAATTTTAATCTTATTCATAATTTCGAACCTCTTTATTTAGTTATTGTATTATTTATAATTTTGAATATATTTACTTAATTACTATATCATTTATATTTTAGAATATAATTTATTCAATTAATATAAATATTTATAAGTTAGAATATAATTACTTAAATATACATAATTTAATGATATTATAAATTATAAGTAATATAATAATTCAATATTTATATTTTATAATAATTGAGTAAATAGATTCTAATATATTATTTATAATTAAGAATCTATTTATTCAATTATTATAATATATATATATATATATTGAATTATTATATTACTTATAATTTATATCTATCATTATATTATTTATTTTTTAGAATATTTTTTCTTAATTGTTATATTATTTATAATTTAAATTTTTTTATTAAATTATTATATTATTTTAAAATTTATAATCTATTTTATTAATTATTATATCATTTATAATTTAGAATATTTATAATTTAAAATAAATTTATTTAATTATTATATATTAGTAATTTAGAATATATTTACTAAATTATTATATTATTTATAATTTAGAATATATTAATTTAATTATTAAATATTAGTAATTTATAATCGAATTACATAATTATTATATTATTTATAAGTTAGAAAATATTTCTTAACTATTACATTATTTATAATTAATTATATATATATATATACTTAATCAATATATTATTAATAACTTAGATCTATAGATTTAATTAATACATTATTTATACTTAATTGTTATTATATATTTTCTATACGTTAAGATATATATAAATAGAATCACATTTATAACTTCATGTCGAGTAGCCCAGTTGGTGGGAGATGCCTTTTTCAACCCAAAGGTATAGGGTTCAATCCCCACCTTTGAGATTTTAATTTTAAGTTTACATATTGACAGCAGGGTATAATCGTAAATTCATTGATAAAGCAAGGGTGTAATGGTAAATTAAATAAAAAAGTAACGTCGTCAGTATTAAAGTAACGGTGTTAACATAAAGGGGCGAGTCTGCATGTAAACATTAAATACAAGGGGGTTTGACGCAATTTTTGAAATACCAGGGTAAAACGCGCAGATTTCATATAATACAGGGGGATTTGGTGCAATAAACTCAATCTATAGTAATATAAAGAGGTTGTTGAAAAAATACAAAATTAGTAAAGTTGACCTAAAAAATAATGTTTTGACTTACTTATTTAAGTAATAAGCAAAGGGGCCCACACATTCATGATATTTTATTATAAAAAATAATTGAAGAATTTACGTAATGTAATTAAGAAATCTTCCAAATTTTGTGGGATTTTATTTTGTTCAAAATTTTCATAGTCGAAAATTAAGTATAGGATTTTGTTTTAAATCACCTCAATATTGGATACCACAATTATTTTGGATGTGGTTAACAAATGATATAGGAATTTGTGGGATTTTATTTGTTAACTATATTTCTAGGATTTTGGTAACCAATCTTTAAGCAGATTTTTGTAACCAATTGTTTAGCCATTATCCCTATTTTTTGGGGAAACATCTTTGACAATTGATAATACTAGTACGTAACCCGTGCGATGCACGGGCTGAATTTATTTAGGGAATATTATAAGTTAAAGTGTATTAATAGATAAAGTGTTATAATACGTAGAGAAATTGTTCAATTATAAAATGTTCATCACCAAAAATATATATTATTAAATACATCATTGTATACGTCGTTCCAATGGACTAATATTTTAAGCCCTTTCTAAAAGTTACACGTGAAACAACATAATTGGTCGTGACTAAAAACAGGTTTCTTTACAAACATGAAAATGCGCGACAGTGACTCTTGTTTATGGTCATGGTATACGAAACCATAAATG